TACATTCTAGTATTAATTGAGTTTCTCAAATATACGGTCAAAAAATATAAATATATTGTTTAATACACTTACATACGGCACTGCATCAGCCCCGTACTTAGCTACTAGGTGCTTAATAGAATTAGCTAACGAAGTTGAACGACAATTCCCAGAAATTGCAAACATCATTCGAAAGGATTTCTATGTCGATGATCTCTTAACAGGAACAGACTCAATAGAGCACGCAACTTACTTAAAGGAAGTCTCTCGCATCTTAGCAAACGCAGGATTTTAACTCCGTAAATGGATTTCAAATGAACCCTTGATCATTCAGGATATTCCGATAGAGGATCAAGTTCCCAATTATGTTAATTTCACAGACGGGAGACAAACAAAAATTTTAGGTTTAGTATGGCAAGCCTACTATGACGTGTTAGTATATATGCAAAGGGAATTAACACAAACAAAAATAACAAAACGAATAATCTTGTCGGAAATAACTCAAATTTTTGACCCACTTGGTCTATTAAGTCCATTCGTTATAATCGCGAAGACCTTATTACAAAGGCTGTGGCTACATAAATTATCATGGGATGAAGCTCTCCCTTATAAATTACATACAAAATGGATATCTTTTCGCGAACAGTTAAATTATCTAAAGGAAATAAAGGTAGATCGACGTGTAACTTGCAAAAACTATAAGCATTTGGAATTACATGCATTTGCGGATACATCACAAGAAGCATATGGTGCATGCGTTTACATAAGAACAATAGATGCACAGAGCAACGTAGCAGTACACTTACTATGTGCAAAAACAAGAGTAGCTCCACTTAAATCACAAACAATTCCCAGATTAGAGCTTTGTGCAGCTGTCATACTAGCGCGATTGCTTAAAAAGGTTATTGAATCTCTTAACGCGTCATTCGACAAGATCATATGTTGGAGTGATTCTACTATTGTGCTTAGCTGGTTAAGGATGCAGCCAAATAGGTTTCAAGTATTTGTATCAAATCGTATTTCCGAAATACAACAAGTAACAAAGTACGATAATTGGCGACATGTGCCAACACGAGAGAATCCAGCAGATTTATTGTCCAGGGGACTATCGTCAGATTCTTTAATACATTCAAAACTTTGGTGGCATGATCCGAGTTTCTTATTGAATGATGAACATCAGTGGCCAGTTATGCCAGAATTCGAAAATGACAAGGGAGAATTGAGAAGAACGGTCTGTACTTTAAAGAAAAGGGATGTATCTATATTTGAAACTAGCTAGGATATAAATCATCTTGTACGCGTTTTTTCATATTGTAGACGATTTATAAATAATTGTAGACATCGGGACAAATCTAGAATCGGCACACTCACAGTCACAGAGCTGAGAGATACACAGCACATATTCGCAAAACTAGCTCAGGAACAATCTTTCTCAGTCGAGATCGAAATCCTAAAGAGGGATAAACAGGTTACAAGGGGGAAGCTATCTCCACTCAACCCTTTTATCGATGAGGAAGGTCTTATACGTGTCGGTGGTAGGCTAAAAAACTCTGACTTCACGATAGATAAGAAACACCCCATAGTTTTAGCCGCGGAGCATAAATTTACAAAATTGCTTTTCAATAGAAAACATTTGCGACTGCTGCATGCCGGACCACAATTACTCTTATATTCTATACGTGAACAATTTTGGCCGCTAGGAGGCAGGAATTTGGCTAGAAAAACTGTGCGTAACTGCATTAAATGCTTTAGGAACAAACCAAGACAGTCTCCGATACCGATGGGAGAATTACCTAGTTCACGTATAACTATGACTGCACCGTTCCACGCTGCAAGTGTTGATTATGCTGGCCCCTTTTTAATAAAGGATAGAAAGGGGAGAGGGTGTAAAATTTCTAAAGCATTTGTGTGTTTGTTTGTCTGTCTGGCTACAAAAGCGGTGCATCTTGAGTTGGTGTCGGACTTGATATCAGAAACCTTCATCGCTGCGCTCGGACGCTTTTCTTCAAGGCGCGGAAAACCCGCGCACATATATTCCGACAATGGAACCAATTTCGTCGGAGCTAACAAAGAATTGAAAGAATTAGCTAAATTCCTCTTAAACGAAACTGAGGCGATCGAACAAGTGGCTGGTAAGATAGGTATTGCATGGCACTTTATTCCCGCCTATTCACCACATTTTGGTGGATTGTGGGAGGCGGGAGTAAAGTCGATGAAACATCACTTAAAACGAGTTGCAGGTAATGCAGTTCTTACATTTGATGAATTTTATACACTTTTGGTGCAAATTGAAGCATTATTAAATTCGCGGCCGTTGACTCCAATGTCCTTAGATCCCAATGATTTAATCCCACTTACACCCGCTCACTTTCTTATTGGTCGGACATTCACGTCAGTAGTGGACCCTGCACTAACTCACCTTCCAGACTCCAGGTTACACAGATGGCAGTTAATTCAGAAGCTGCAGCAGCATTTCTGGCAACGTTGGAGTAAGGAATACATATCTGAACTACAACTCCGTACAAGGCAGGCAAAAATGTCAAGGCATTCGAAGAGGAAATGATGGTCATAATCAAGGATGACAACCTATCGCCCTTCAAATGGAAACTTGGACGGATTGTTTCCGTTCATCCAGGCAAGGATGGTGTAGCAAGAGTTGCCACTGTAAGAACAACTACAGGAATAACAAAAATTACAACTGCGAAACTATGTTCACTGCCAAGAGAAGACTGTATTAATACTTAATTTAAGGATCACGGTTTATTATTGCGTTTATATTCATTATAATTTGTCAATTAGTTAATTAACTTTTATATTTTGTCTTCATTTAGTCCAAACAATTTACTATTAATTATCTTTATTACTTATAAGCTCGTTTTGCAACTTCAAATATATTTTGTTATTCCATTAACCAAACATTATTGAAAGTACCTTTCAATGTCGGGGGGTATGTTTGGTATGTTAAAAAGGTTTTGTTTAATTCAAATCTGGCGCTCCATCTATACGAGTTGCCAACTACTTTCTTAACGTTAATTGCAAAGGCAAGATGGCGATGGTCTCTCGTCAATAGCGAACGTGCTCAATTGTGACTTATCAATAAAAAGATGAAATCCAACGTTATACAGTCCACATTCATTCAATAATAACCAATAGGTAATTTACAGGATTGGGAAAGTTACTTTTTAAAAGTTACTCGTTACCGTTACTCGTTACCGTTACTCGTTACCGATTCTAAAAAGTAATGCGTTACCGTTACTTAAAAGTAATGATAAAAAATCATTACTTTTCGTTATTTTTTTTCTAATTATGCAGAAGACGGTTCTACTAACCGATTTTGATGAAATTAGGGCGATTCGACGCGCGTTTGCACAAAATGAACGAATCTGGCAGAAAAATAAGTGTCTCTCTATAGAATAGAATGCTAAGATAGAATATAAATTAAATATATATAAGATATTTAGAAAGACATTTATCTTTGAACATTTTTATCTTTTATTAATATTTTAAATATTTTTGTTTAATTCTACGGTATTTTATTATATAATAGATATTTTAATTTTTAATGTTTTTATGCTAAAACGAGAATAGTGAATGAAACAAAAAATAGGCAAAAAGTTTTTTGTTTATTTAGTACCTATAATCTTATCATCCGTAACGGCCATGATCTATAAAAAAAATAACGATAAACGAGTAACGGAGTTAATTTCGTTTCTTCGTTACTAATGAAAATGTAACGTCGTTACTTACATACTACTGTGTCCAAAAAGTAAGGTGACATTGCATTTTAAATCTCCCGCGCGCACGGATTTGGAGGAATAAAATTTTTTGTAGGTTGGTAGGACTGTCTTTGACATCCAAGAGAAGTAACACGTCAAAATATCCATTAGTGTTTGAGATACGCATTGTTTTGTGAGCTGCTAAAAGTGAATTTCTCGTTTTTTGCCATGTCTACATTTGTTGAGCAAAGAATTTGCATTAAATTTTGTTTGCGGAATCAAATTTCTGCTGCAGAATCGTTGCGGATGATGCAGAATGCCTTTGGCGATAAGGTTATGTCGAAAAAAAATGTTTACAAGTGGTACAAAGACTTCCATGAAGGTCGAGAACGTGTTGAAGACGACGAGCGTTCTGGGCGACCATCAACCGCAACCGACGAAACGTCCAAAAAATTAAAGATTTGGTGTTGGAAAACCGTCGTTTAACCATTAGAGACCTTTCTGATGAGATTGGCATATCAAAAGGCTCGGTCAATTCCATTTTGAAGGATGTGTTGGCTCTCAAACGCGTCAAATCTCGACTGGTACCAAAATCATTGAATTTTTTGGAAAAAAGGCGCCGCGTCGAAGTGTGTGAAGCAATGCTTTCCGACTACATTGACAAGACAAAATGCATTATCACTGGAGATGAGACTTGGATCTACGCTTACGATCCCGAAACAACCGACCAATCGAGTGAATATCGTGCCAAAGGTGAGCCGAGACCGAAAAAACCACGCCAAAGTCGCTCAAAAATCAAGGTTATGCTGACTGTTTTCTTCGATTATCGTGGTGTTGTGCATTATGAGCTCCTTCCGCCGGGCCAAACAGTCAATAAGGAATATTATTTGAACGTTATGCGTCATTTGCGTAACGCTATCCGCCAGAAGAGGCCGGAATTGTGGCGAAACAACACTTGGTTTTTGCACCACGATAATGCACCGTCACACACTGCGCTGATTATTCGTGATTTTTTAGCCAAAAACTCGACTAATATCGTTCCACAACCACCGTATTCACCTGATTTGGCTCCATGCGACTTCTGGCTATTCAGCAAACTCAAGCGGCCGCTCCGGGGACACCGTTTCGAGTCGATAGAAGAGATTCAAGCCGCTGCGAAGAAGGAGCTAAAGGCCATTCCTGAAATCGATTATTTCAACTGTTTCGAAGATTGGAAAATCCGTTGGCATAAGTGTATTATATCAGGGGGGGATTACTTTGAAGGGGACGAAATTGATTTGCAAGAATAAATAAAGAATTTTCGAAATAAATGCAATGTCACCTTACTTTTTGGACACAGTAGTACAGCACAGAATTTGCAGCAATATTGTTGCAATAACGCTGCAATATTGCTGCAACATGCAATATTGTTGCAATGTTGCAGCATTGTTGCTGCAACTTTTGTGCTGTAAGGGTTTTTCGTTACTAATAAAAAAATGTAACGGCGTTACCAAATCGTTACCAAAAAAAGAAACAAAAATATAACATTGTTACAAGTAACGCGTTACTTCCTAACCCTGGTAATTTATTAGTTTATACATACTTTTTAGTTTATAACGTTTACATAATCTTATTCATGGATTCCTATTTGCCTTGATGTCACACAATTTTACTATTTGAATATTTAGAGTCCTGTTTTGACTTATTTGTAATAGAAATTATAATTGTAATGTGAAAACATAAAAAATAATTAAAGGGATAATTTTTGCATTGTGCTTGGTTTTAGAAAAAAATGAGTTTGGAAAAATGTTGCTTATACATAATTATGCATAATTTTATATATAATTATACATAAGTAATTTTTTTACATTTCTTCAAAGTTGATTTTTTCTAAAATTAATAGTGCAAAAATTACCTTTTTAATTATTTTTACTGTTTTCACATTATTATTATTTTCTATTATTAATATTATTTCTAAAAATTAATTATCTAAAAAGTAATTTTACAAAAGAAAGTAAGATGTATGAACATGTATGGACATATTTCATATAAAATTATACATGTTTATGAATATTTATACATAATTGTACATGTGTATGTATGTTTATACAAATTAAAAGTATGACTAAATTAGGCTAATGAGAGTCAAGCAATGTTGAACGGCGCAAAGATAGGTGAAAACCATACTCAGATGTTAGCTTAAAGTCTTCTGTATTTGACCTAATTTAGTCATACTTTTAATTTGTTGAATTTGAGAGTCCGAATACAATTATTAATTATTGTTTATACAAAATTATACATATTCATATATCACAAATTTTTTACCGGACACACATATATACAAATTTATAAATGTATGTGTGTATATATGTATACATATATATGCAAAACATTTGTATTTTAATTATGAAGATTCTATTGTAGATATTGAATAAAAATGAGGGAAATTTTGGAAATTTTATGCGGAATTATTGTTCTTATCTTTGCCTTTTATTATTATTACAAATTGAAGTTTGATTTCTGGAAGAAACATGGAATACCTGGACCTAAACCCACAATATATTTTGGCACGGCAAAGGACATTATATTACAAAAAAAATTACCTCTGGAATATTATAAAGAAATATATGATGAATATAAACATGCGTCATTAGTAGGACTCTTCATTAAAACAGAACCAGTCTTACTGATAAATGATTCCGCTTTGATCAAGGATGTTCTGATCACAGACAGTATGATATTTGCAGGACGTGGTATTTCTTACTCCAAAAAGGTATTTAAAGTAATAGCTTTATATTTTTGCACCTGAGAACTATTATTTCATATTTTATGTTTTATGTTATATAATTAAAGTTGAATATGTGTAATCAAACGTTTAGCAAAAAGTATATTTTTATCATATTAAGAGATCTCATGTGTGTGTTGCTATTATTTTTAATGAAAGTATATTAATCGTGTTTTATGCATACAAAGATTTTTTTATCTACTATTAATATATTAAGATATCTTAATATGAAGATTGTCATTAGTTTAAACCGATAGGAAGACACTAAATAAAATTTACTACGTACATTAGAATAATTAAATTATACATAGATAAGGAAAAGAAGAAGGTATTGAAAGAATTTCGAGCAAAATGGACCACGAGTGAGCAGTAGTATTATTAGACCATGTTTTGTAGGTATTGTTTATGTACAGTCGTGGACAGAACGGTTGCAACACTTTTTTTTCAATGAGTTTCGAATTGCAGCTTGCTCACCGAGCGCTTGATTCATACTTATGGATATATAAGTAAGAACGAATTGCTTGTTGAACAGGCTGTATTCCGAAACTCATTGAAAAAAAGATATTGCAACCGTTCATTAGGCGTCATTACAGTGCATCCAGAAGCACAACCGCTCACTGAGCGCTCAGTGAGCTCTAGTACCTGTTTAGTCTATATTTTTAGGTCTAATGGAATACGCCAATTAGATGCAAGAGTTTACTGAGCGCTCAGTGAGCGATCGTGATTTTGGATGCACCCATTGGGCGCATTCAGCGGATTCAATAATTGAGTGAGCGATCGCTGTTATTGGTGTAATCTTTTAGCTCATCCAATCAGAATTTTAGATTTAGAAGAATACACCAATAACAGTGAGCGCTCACTCAACTGTTGAGTCCGCTGAATGCGCCCATTGATGCCTTCCAGCTTGAAATTAGTTTCCGCCGATCAAATATATCGCATCTAGATATTTGCTTATCATAATTGTCAGATTCACCAACGTTACTTCGTAACTACATGTAATCATGGGCGCTGACAGAATTATATGCAGAGGGGTGCACTCAAAAGAATTCAAATTCGAACGCCAATTGATACAAGTAAATGAATTTATTAATTTTAGGTCTGTTCTTTTTCGAAAAATTATGAATTAGTGTAATAAGTTAGAATAAAAGAAATTATACCTATCTCACTTCAACTTATTGCACCAGTGTACATATGTTCAGAACTTCGGATGGAAAAAAAACAAATCTAATTAGACTAACAATTTGGATAGCAACCAAGACTCAAGT